CTCCTAATCATGATATTTATGGGAATTTAAAAGGATGTTCTGAGGTATAAAATGGCAGATCTGAGTGTCCAGAGAAGACAGATTCAGTGACCACAGCCTGGAAACAGAAACTGGACACAGGCAGACCTGGCTGTCCAGAGAGGAAAAGCTCAGTGACCACAATCTGGCCTGGACATAGAAACTGGACACAGACCTACTGTAACTGCCCATCAGCTTGGCCATTAAAACTGTAGTTCAGTTCATTCTGCTCAAATGGTTTCTGTTATTTCTGGGAGAGAGTCCCCGTAATTCCAGGACACTCCCAGATGATCTACCAGAACACCACCCTGGCTCTGAGGTGCCATTCTGTGTCTGCTGGTGTTCTCGGCACTGTCAGAAACAGTTCTTTCCGGGCCCTACGCGGGCGACACGATCCAAAAAGTGAAGAAACAATAGGGAAAAATATCATGCAGGAGTCGGTCAGGAGACAGGGGGGCGTGTCCATGCAGTGCTAGTGTCCGGGGGGAGTGAATCCAGGGCGAACAATCCAAGGGTAAATCCAGAGGAGGAATCCAAGACGAGAGGTTTAGTCCAAGACCAGGGGATCCATCCGTAGTTAAAACCAGAACCGGGTCGGGACCGGCGGGGCAGGGAATCAGGAACAGGAAACTAAAACCGTAACGGAGCCAGACGTGGCAAGACCCCAGGCTCTCATGACATGGAAATCAATGAGAAGCCCTGAGCAATCGCCTGCGTCTGGCTTTAAAGGTGGAACTAAAGAGGGGCTGGAATAAGGAACAGGTGTGGGGAATGAGACAGAACGAGGAAGGGCTGGAGCGCCCTTAAGAGGAGGAGTAACGATCGTGACAGGCACTTAATGACATAGTTCAACTGATTATGGACTCAATTGAGCCAATGTATTAGTTGCCTCCAGCTCCACAAGTGCTGGTGCTCCTGATTTCCAATCAGAAAAGCTTCAGACACCACAGGATTGGAGACCCCTGGATCACAGTGTCCCATCATGCAACACTATAGGAAGGAGAACCAGCCCTGATAGACCTTGCATATGTGTTCTAAGACCACAACTACTGTAGATATTTTTTTTAAAATAAATATCTGTCCCACCCAGGGGATGGCACAGTGGTTGGCACTGCTGGGGCCCTGGGTTCAGCTCCTGGACTGTGCTGTCTGTGTGGAGTTTGTACGTTCTGGTTTTCTCCCACAGTCCAAAGGCAAACTGGTAGGTTAACTGGCTTCTGAGAAAGGTGACCCTGCTCTGAGTGTGCCTGTGTCTGTGCCCTGCAATGGACTGGCATCCCATCCAGTGTGTACCCAGTCTTGTGCCTGCTGCTTGCTGGCATAAGCTCCAGCTCCCCTGTAACCCTGCACTGGCAGAAGTGGTGCGGAAATGGATGGATGTACCAACCGGAGCTGTTTCAGAGATGTTGCAGTCACTACGTAGGTCTTCTGCTGGCTCGTGCTTGCTCTGAAATATAGAAATAAAAAGCTTTGTTTCTTACCTTAAAAAGACTTTCAGGTGTTCTGACACTGAGCTGGATTAATACACACAACAGGACAAGAGACAGTGTGAGAGAGAGAGGAGATAACAGAGAATCCAGCAGCAATAAACACACACGATAGGAAAGGAGACACAGTGAGAGGAAGGAGATAACAGAGAATCCCTCATTAAAAGGTGAGGGATAGGACAGGAGACACAGTGAGAAAGAGGAGATCACAGAGAATCTCTCAGTATTAAACACACAGAACAGGACAGGAGACACAGTGAGAGTGAGGAGATCACAGAACATCCCTCAGTTTAAAACACACACAGGAGACAGGAGACAGTGAGAGAGAGAGGAGAAACATAGAATCCCTAAATAATAGACACACACAACAGAACAGGAGACACACTGAAAGAGAGGAGATCACAGAGAATCCCTCAGTAATAAAC